TCTCCGACTCAGTTATATTGTATAATTTCTGTGTTTTATCGTCTTTTAAAATTTATGTGTCCGGCTTTTCATTTTTACAAATCAATAATGTATGCGCATACATGACACATACATATACACACGCGCGTGTGCGCGCACGCGCGGGCACGCATAAGAATATGAGTCATTATATGATAATCAAATATAGAGGGAATTGTCATTGGGAGGGGGGGGGGGGAAGGGAGGAGGTTTTTATTCTAATACTGTCAAAAATAAAATATTATGTTATATATATTTTTTATTTTTATAATATTTACAATATTTACGAATAATATAATTGTATATAAATGTTTGTATGTTATTTTTTACATGTAATACGATTTTATATGCCATAATTTTGTATTAGCAATGCAATACGTGAGTATAATTATTCGGATACCCAGGTACCCGGGTCATTTCTAAATGACAATACTAAAGGCTGTCAGCCGATCTGAAAAGTCTTTTACCGTTTTGTAATTTTTGTAATAACTATGGAGAAAATAAATGATTAAAAAGGATGTCCAAATAAGTGCGCTTTTCACGCGGCTAAATTGTGAGATGTATGCACGTATAGACGTGCCAGCGGCGAGTGTTAGACGACAATGAAAAGTAAGGCATTTATCCGCTTGCTGCTCGCGTGTTATCCCTATCCTCACAATCAAACTTTTTGTTACCATATGATACTTTTCGCTGTCACGCTTAAAGCGTACATTCTACGACCTATGGTCTAGCCATGCGAAATGTGCGCTTATTCGCTAATTCTTTTTAATTAATTTCTCCATAATTATTGCAAAAATTGCAAAATAGTAAAAGAGTTTTCTGTTTGGCTTATTGTATTCTATCCGCTCACTAGCGTTGTCGTGGTTATTTTGAGACTCTATAAAGATGTCCCAGTATTATACAGGGTGTCTGTAAAAATTAGGACCAAATTTGTACAGTGTGAATAGGGTAGATGTATATGAATCTATGTTCGAAAATGCTTTATTAAAAAGTTATAAGCGTTCAAAGAATCACGAGCAATTGTTCGATATTTATTCAAATTAGATTACTCACCGATTATTCTGCCGCTGAGATATGTTATAAAACAGGTTTTTCTGAGTAAGTCCTTGCAAGAACCATGTGGGGGGTAGCTGTAAAGATATAACAAATTAAATTTACGTATGTACTGTAAAGGTACTTAATTATCGGAGAAAAATTTAATTTTAATTTAATTTAATATTATTCTCCCTTTTTCTTTTCTTCTGTGGAATCTTTCTCAATAACAGTTTCTTAGTTGACTTGTTTCTGCTTTTATTAATATATTTATATGAATTTTATAATAAATTATATTTAAAAATTTTTTAAGAGATTAATAATCAAAATAGACGTTTAAATTATTTTCTAATGCATATAAACTAACAATTTTTGTATGCACTTAACAAATTTAATAAAAGAAAAACAAGAAATTTTAAATCCACACTTATTGCTAAGAGGTCATGCACCTCAATGTACTTTATCATGCATTAAAGTGTACGTTTATGAGCACTTCAAATAATTGTACCAACAATCTACACATAAAGAAGTTTGACGATTACCCCCATGCCTGACGCAGGCGCAACTCTTATGATTCAACAATAGATAAAGCGGCGTTGTTGTAGCGGAATTGCCAGTCACTATGCGCTTATCCTGGTGTGTTAACTGCTTTCCTTACATGACAAGTATTAAACTTATGCCGTATGTAGTTTAATCCATGTGCGTTTAATAACTGATAAACAAGAAGAAGTGATTTATAAAATTACTTTTATGCATGGCTATGGGTTGTATGAAAAGCATGTAAACATCTTTATTAATGTATGTACTTTAATCTTGTGCTTGCAATTGAAGAATTTTTTTTAGATCATCATAAAAACTTTAATGCCTTACTATAAACACACACACACACACACACACACACACACACACACACACACACACACACACACACACACACACAAAGGTTTTATATTACAGAAAATACATTCAAATCAGTGATATAACTTACTATAGTTATTATTACTAAAATTGGTAATAAAAATTGTTAAAAATTTTTTTCTAAAAATAAAAAAATTATCATAAATCCTATAATTTCTTTCAAATATATTTTAAAGCAAATTGTGATTACCATCAGTAAATTTCGATTATAGAATGGATGTAAGTTCATTAATTCCGGCGGGTCTTCAAAGTGGACAAACAGATTTGTGCGAGGTTCAAGCGGGATATAATAAATTTTCAGAAAATTTACGAAAGTTTACACCACAGGCTATACAATGTGCTATTTTTTGTGGTGGATCTAGATGTAAATATGAGAATTCAAAAACTTGGCCACCTGTCCATATGGCAATACAGAACATCTTTTCGCATTGGTAAGCATTATTATTTATTAAATTTTATAAAAGAACAAGAATAAAGTAAATTGTTATTAACCAACAATAAACAAGAATAGAATATTGCCAATAAAATGTTATTATTTTTTGTTAACTTGATAATTTAATTAGTTAATTTTAATTACACCTTTTTATAATTGTGAAACTTCACCAAATTACCACATTAAACATATATTCATTTACTTATGTATAGTTTTGAACTACTCTATTAGGATATAATAACTATCTAGTAACATTTATAACTTGCTTAATATTTTATACCGGCTTAGAAACATGCATTCTGTTAGTCATCTTATTATTGACATTATGTCGATGTATCGTTGAACATCGATCATTTATATAGATCAAATATGTATAGTTGGCGTATTAACATGTGTTTTCTTGCATCAGTATAAATAATTAGAATAAAAATCAAACTAAATTTATTATTGTGTATGTTATTTATTCATAAAATACTTACATTAGTTCTCTATCTAAATGTTTCTACGATCTAAATATTTTAGGGTAACTGATGATGTTCTTGCAATGGCACGACCCAACACTGCGCAAATAATAAAGAAAGATATAATTGCCCAATTCCAAGGATGGAGTATTAAAACCATAATAAACCTGCAAACACCTGGCGAACACGCTAGCTGCGGTAGTCCACTCGAAAACAGCGGCTTCACGTATGATCCCAATATTTTTATGAAAAATGACAGTAAGTATTACAAACATTTACTAGAATCTATAATATTTTCAATGCTTTTTAATTATCTTAAGTTCTTTTACTTGTTATCGAGATAAATAATTTTATAAAGTTTTAGTAATAATCTCTTTGAGATTTACACAATAAAAATGTATAATATAATCAATATAAAAAATTGTATCTTATAATTTTATGTATTGTATTATATATCTTAATATATTTAATATCTTATAATTTATGTGATATGTGCATATAATAAAACAATTTTTTATATAATTAGGATTAATTAAATTATTATCTTATATTAAAAGTTTTGTGATTGCACCATATGATGTGTGGATAAATTTAAAAAAATATTAATTTTTCTATATTTCTTTAACCTTTTTTATAATATTTTTTATATTGCTATTTTATTGAAAAATTTAACTGTATATATAGTGTAAAAGAATTACTTACTTTCATTACCACGTTGCATTACTACATAAATAATGCAATATTCAAAAGATGCATTCAATTTAACTTTATCGCATTTACATTACAATATGCAAATTGTGCAATAATGATAGAGTCTGTAATAAAATGGCTGTAGTAAAAAATTAATTATTTTTAAGTAAATAGATGTTATGATGATAATGGAATGGAGGGAAGTTTGTCCTTGTTAAATACACGTAGAATCATGAACGCGTCTCTCCCCCAATCCTAACAACCACCAGCTAGATCGAAGAGGTGCACAATATAACATGCAATGCAGCAAAAGTATATATCTATATGAAAATACGAAAGCCCCGAAATAACAAACGTCGTTTTCGCGCATTTATATGACGTTGTACGTCAAACTGTCCTAATATTTATCGACCACGTAAATGTGTTACAGTTTACTACTACAATTTTGCTCTAAAGGATTATGGAGACGCTACAATGGGAAAACTTCTGGATATGGTCAAGGTTGTGGCCTTTGCCGTACAAGAAGGAAGAGTAGCCATTCACTGTCATGCCGGTAAATCGATTTTTCACATAATACACTTGACCCAATTACATCTCTCGCAACTATCATGGTATTTTGGTTTTATCGTATGAGTATCGAATATGTATGCGTAAATTAGTTCATGTTTATCGAAATATTCTTTTTATTTATTAACTCTCCGTTTCTTTTTTAATAAATAATCTCAAAATAAATCTTATTTAATGAAATAATAATTTTTTTCGAAAAAAAATGCTTGTAATAATACAACTTTTTTGCCACATTGTCTAATTATCCTTAAGACTTATCTATGTTTTTATTATTTTTATATTTTATTTATTTTTGTTATTTTTTATTAATATATATTTTTATTCGTATATATATATATATATATATATATATATATATATATATATATATATATATGATGTGATGTATGTATGATTATGTACTTTATGTTTGCGCAATAAAAACACAACAAAATAAAACAAGAAAATGTATATTTACTCATACACACCTTTATATAATCATATATAAATATATATATTCATATTCATTTATATATAGGTGTATCTATTTATGTATGAACAAATTCGGTATATAATTTTGTATAATTAGATATGTACTATTTTTGTCTAATTATGTATGAGAAATTTTTTACCGGGTATGTTCAACATATAATATCAAAAAATTAAAATAAATATATAAACTGATATTTATAAACAAAAGTTTTCTTAAGATCTCTTCAGTACAAATAAACAATTTTTTTGTAAAGCAATCAATATTTAAAGCATTTGTTAAAATATAAAATCTTTTATATAACAATGATTGTTAAATAATAAAATAATTATTAAATAATAAATAATTATTATTTGTCAGAAAGCAATTGGTTTATGAAAAATTTAGTTGCTCGCTATTATATAACTTAATGAATAAAATTATGTAATTCAATAAAAACGTTATTATCAAGAATAAATAACGATAATCCATTGCGCTTTATTTAATATAATTTATTAGCATTAGCTGACATTGCCGCGTCAAGAAAGTTCAATTACGTTAAAGCACAAAATACAGATGGAGCTATAAGCAACCTTGATCTCGTAACGCTGTATATTTTTACCTTTCAAAAAAAGCTGTTGTATATATATTTAAATTTATTTATAAAAAAAACTATTGTACATTTTAAATAAAAAAATCTATTATACATTCTATCTATAAAAAATATGATGTCAGAAAATGGCGCCAAATAAAAATTATAAATTATACATATCATTATTACAAAAAAAAAATTATTTTATATTTTCTATGAAACATACATTAAATAAAAACTAATGTCAATTTAAAAAATATAGAATAAACTAATTTAAAAGAAAATTTAAATTTGATCAAATTAATAAAAATATATCAAATTTAAATTTTATCTAAATAAAAAAATATTTAATGCAAGAAATGGATACTATTTATATTTTGAGTTCTTATTTTAAAAAAAAGGGTCCTTTGTCACAAAAATATTAACCTTTACAACACTTTTAAAATGAGATATTACTTTAACAGGATCTTAAATTCAAAGGGTCGAAGCTCCAGAATTTGACTTTAGGCCGGGAAGAAGAGATTTTCACACACAGGAGGGACTCTTTGAAAAAAGAAGTATTTTTTTAAAATAACATGCACTCAACCATCTTTGTCGTCAAAAATTTGAGATAATATATTGATTAGTCTCTCCTTTTTATGGTCGAAGAAAGGACAAATTTTTCTTTATGTGAAATGTAAACTAGTGTAGCCATTATTTTCGTTTTTAGTTTTACTGATTAAAATTATTAATTTTGCGTGTAAAATTTCACGAGTTTTTCCGCAATTTTAAAGGGGTTTAACCTCCTGTAATTCGTAAATTTCACAAAGTTTCAAAAAAATTTTAGAGTAAAAAATATTACTTTTCTATTGTTTTTTCAAATCTGAAGTTAAAACATACCCTTACTTTAAGAAAATTTTGAAAAACAAGCCTATCCCTTCAAAAACCCTTCAAGAAGAGATTTAAAAGGGTTCAAAGATATTCTTTTTGAATCCAGAGTGTCGATTTGGGGAAGAGAGGGGGGGGGGAGAAGGAGGGGGATAAGTACTATAAATTTTTACAATTTTAAACTAGATTGCAGAAAATCCCCTTGAAAAGGCATTTTTTAACACCCTATTCACTCTTTAAATAAAAATTTACTTGTGATTCATTTAAAGCATTTCTTTCAAATATTTTGCTTTTTGCTTTATATTTCCAAACTTTTGGTAACAATATAATTCTTTTCATACAACATTTTAACATTTTTTCAAATATATTTATATAGAACAAAAAAATTAAATTCTTGAATTTATTTTATAATGAAATTATAAGTTTGCATAGGAACTCTATATAATGTACATCAATCTTATAAAGAGTTAGCTTTAAGATTCCTGAATGTATAAAATTAAAATAAATTGATCTCTTTCTCTCTCCAACAACAGAGAATCAGAATGTACCAAATTAAATAGGGAAATAAAGGAAGGAAAAGCGAGAAAAATATATTTTAGAGTTAATTTTTTACTTATTTACTTTAATTAATATTTTTTCTTATATTTAATTTTATATATTTTTATTTAAATTATTGAAACATAATAAGTTATTTTATATACCAAAGAATTTCATCGATTTTTTCGATTAACAATCAAAGGTGATTTTTAGCTATCATTATTCAAAGTAATGTTTAAGGATGTAGGATAATCGTCCATATTTAGATCGATCGATAGGTTTCTTCGCAACGGTTGCTTTGAGAAATTATAGTGAATTCACAATTACAATAATTAATATTGGCTTATATCTGTAGGAGAAATCATATACAGAATAAAGTTATAATACAGTTATAGAAGTTTATAATTTTATAATTATAATTATAAACTTATGCTCATTCTTAAAAAAAAAAATTATATCTTTTATTGTCGCAATACTTGTATGTATTAACTACTATGTATTAATTATGTATTAATGTTACTATGTAATATTACTATGTATTACTAATATTACTCTGTATTAATTTTAATTCTTTTATTCTCACTGTTATTTACATATTTTATAAGTCAAAATCAATATAATCAAATCCAGTTGAAGAATAAAATAAGAATGCAAAAAATTAAATGCAATAAACGCAATTAGCAAAATTAATTTACAAGATTTATTCACGTCCGTATTATTGCGATCAGTTGGATTGATAAAAATTCTACAACTTTAGAAATGTCTTGTGTGCATGTGACGCAATTTACAATTAGTTACAAAGAGAAATCATATAAAATTCTATCATTTGTGTAATAAACTTAAGTTATGATACAAGGGCCATTTGAAAAGTTTGTGGTCTGATAATAAAAAATTGTCTTTTTTGTTTTTAAATTATTTTTATTTTTTATATATATCTCTGAACTTCAAAACATTTTATACAGCGATGCATTGCCTTTATCCCATCCTGGAAATCCGATTTCTGGAAAAACTAATGCTGCAAATGAGTGCCGTATTTGTTATTGGCACGTGTCCATAAAAGTGTTGTTTTCATAGCAACAATTAACGAATTGAAGTATGATTTGCGGCCACATCCGCCTTATTTTCCTGATTCAATTCTTTCGTCTGACTTTCATCGCAAACTTGGAAAAATTTCTTAGTGGAAAGCGATTTTCCTCAGACGATAAGCAGCAGTAAACGATTCCGTAATGGGATAAAGCCAATGCATCGCTGGATAAAATGTATTGAAGTTTAGAGAGATTATATTAAAAATAAAAAAATAAAAATAAAACAAAAAAGACAATCTTTTATTATCAGGCCGCGAGCTTTTCAAATGGCCCTTGTATCATCTATCAAATATGTCTTATTACATACAATAGATATTTTGTATACATCAACTTTTCATTTTCTGCTTCAGGAATGAAACAATTACAATTGACATCTTTGTCTCCAATTGTGATATTCACAATAATACTCAATGAACATTTTTTGAAAAATAATGCAGAATTAATAAAGTAATGTTTAGGCTCATTCTACAATAAGTCGTATGTCGCTGACAGATGTCGGATACAAGTGTACTGAGCTATCAGATATCGTTAATTGTACAGCTTTTGTTTGTTATACAGCTCATTATGTTTGCGCCTGATATCCAACAGCGACATATAACTTATTAATTTCCTTTTAATTGGCAATTTTTATTAGAAACGTCTTTGTTATACTATAATTTTTTGCCTACTGATATAGCTCATTTACTCGCTTGTATTTCATTAATAAGTTGATAATTATAAGTCTATTATAAGTAACAAAACAATGTCGGAAGTATTTCAATTTCAGGTCTTGGTAGAACTGGTGTTCTGATCGCGTGTTACCTCATTTACAGTCTTCGGGTGAGAGCGAATGATGCTATAAGGTTTGTCCGCATGAAGCGCCCATGTGCTATACAAACGCGCGGGCAAATACTTTGCATACAGGAATTCGAGCACTTCGTGCTTCCGCAAATGATAGTATTTCCTTTATATAATATAACAGGAGATCGTAAACTTTATAGTCTTCAATCATACATGAAGAAGCAATACAACATTTTACACGGATATGAACAACGTACCTTCAAACATATTCCAAAAGTAAGAAGCATTTTATTTTAACAATGAAAAAGATAGCTGAATACATAATATTGTAAAAAAATTTTTTTGAATATTTTCATGAAAATAATTGAAATATTTTAGTTTTCAAGAAAATGTAGATTGTTAGAAATAAAACACTTAAAAATATTCAGCCTTTCTCTTGTATGTGTGTGTGTTGTATAAAAATATTCAATTTTTGCTAAAAAAATGATTTATTTTCTAAATGTGAGCGTAATTTATTTTTTAAATTGATCCGTCTGTAATCTATTTTGGATTTGCTTTAAGTCATTATTGTTTTGTTCTTGAAGTACTATTATTAATATTATAGATAAATATTAATTTGTTATTGTTGTTAATATAATATAGATTGTGCTCTGTAGAAAATACGTTTACTCAGTTAATTATGTAATTTCTAGATTATTTTTATTATTTGCGAACGGATACTACAACTTTGCGATTGTCAGGAAGACAATTCGCCTTCCGAAATTACATATACAACCTCTAACGTGCCTTTTACACAATTGTTTATTTGCCACATGTTGGAGAAATTTTGTGATGGTAAAAATAACATGTGGCACTCCTATTCATGGGCGGAATCCCTTACGGACTCTTCGTTTGAATACTCAAGTGAGAAGTATTACATGCTCGTTTAGTAATTAGCAATTTTATGATATCTAATTAACTTTCACTTCGTCCTGATTGTTTAATTAAATATTACTCATATTAGTTGTTAAATCAACTTAATCCGATGTTATCTTTGTAAATTAATATATGTAAATTTCATTTTTATTAATTTAAATACATGTTAAAAATAAGATAAATGTCTATCATCAAAATACTCTAAATATACCATTTATATTTATTTAAAAAAAATTTTATATGTGGTTTAATGTTTTAAAAAAAATTATTTTTATGTTTATTTAAAAAATCTAGTATAAAAATTTGTAATAAAAACCTAACAATATATCTCCCTCTCAAACTGTATATATGTATTTACAAAATAATTATATTTTATAGCATCCACTAAAGCATGTAATAGTAGTCAGGGATCGTCCCGAGATACTTCCGAGGATATAGGAAGATTGAGCGATGTGTTTTGTATGTCACCTGACACTCCTTCTTGTGACTCTGCATTTCCAGGTACGTATTACACACAATTCTACTAAAAAATTGCTTTTTTTCGAACTCAATAATGCGAGGTATCTTCTTTTATAATTTTTTTTTAATGCTGAATATAATGCTGTTTTAAAAATGTTTCATCGCGACACAATTTTGAGAAATTCAAGCTCAAACTTTTAAAAAAGAGTTATTTTGACGTACTTGATCATGCTATAACTATGGTATGCGACGTGTTTTTTGGAGAATTTTTCGTGTACATTACAGTTAACAAGGTTTTGTTAAATAACAATTAAATATTGTGTTTGCTACACCGCAAGCAGATTATAAATGAAACTAACAAGGAAAGGGACCCAAGTGTCCCCCTCCGATTTTGACGAGCTTTAAATATGTTGTAAAGTAGCTCAAAATAAGAGACACGTATTTTTTTTATGTGCTTTCTCGCACGTTTAGGGTTGAAACAACCCCTACAAGCTAAAACGGTTTTTTTGGTTTTGACTGAATATCGTCAAAACTGTAAGAGACATCAAAAAATGTTTCGAATAAAAGTTGCATGGTCTTTTATGAGCTTTATAACCGCGTAGCTCGATTTTTAAAAAATTTTATATTTTTTAATTTACCCTCACCCCTTCTTATTATTTTTACGAATTTCAAAATTTTTGTTATGACAAAAGTTGTAGCATTTTTTACGCTGAATACAACCATATATGATTTTATTATATTTCGAAATCGCATCTTTCAGAAATGAGCTGTCAATGTCGCACTATATGCGTCGCGCTGCGATATATGCATATATATATGCATAACGCATCGTTTGTGCCGCTTGTGTAATCGATGTTTGTCGTGCATGTGTAATTGATAAGACAAATAAAATTAGAAATAAAGATTAGCATGTTATGAAACATTCGGAAAAATGTTCTGATCAAAGAACAAAGTTCACTAAAGTTGTTGCCAAAACATCCCCTCTATTTTACACTTTTATAGTCGCATTTCGAGTGCATTTATAGCGCAGCGCGTTGTCATATCTCGTCAGTGCATATTACGCTTTAAAGTTGTGCGCTTGTTAGTGATTACGAAAAAACAATATATAAAACAGCATCAAAAAAGAACAGCAAATTCACTATAAGGTAAGTATTATTTTTTTGTACACAAATAAGGAGAAGTATTTAATTGTTATATTTTTCAGAATGGTTCAATTAAATCCATTTAACGTAATAATGTTAGTATAGTAACTTTTTCGGCCCTTAATCTATCAACAAGTCCGATAACATCTGAAGAACGAGAAATGGCACATAAAATAGAATCTATGCTGAAAGAAATGCGCGATGAGAGATACAAAATGGAAGTAGAAGAATCTTTAGATTATGAAAACGATAACGATATTCCAACAGCAGAGCAATTCGAACTAGGAGATAAAGAGGAAGAAGGTGAGCTATGGACGCAAATCCTAAAGTTATATGTACTACAGATGAACGTATTCCGTATGAATATGAAAAAAATGCAGTCGAATTTTGGAAAAGCAGTACAACAAGGCCAAGAACATTAGAAGGAGTAAAACAAAGATTTCGGAAAGTATATTCATTACGTCAATTACGACGATGGGAAATTCAAGTGAATCAAGGTGGCAGTAGATTCGAAAAATTAAACAAATTTCGGAATATACATTAAATAATTTTCATACAGCTCTTGAAAATAGAATTATTGTTCACGACGCTGATTTAGCTCGATGGGCTATTCGGGCACAGGAAAATTTAAATGTACCAGAATTTACAGCTTCATCGCGATGGATACGAAAATTTAAAATAATACATAATATTGTATCTCGTAAAATAACAAAATTTATAAGAAAAACGTCTATATTGTCTAACATCGATTTTGAAGAAAAATGTAACACATTTATTGAAAACGTTAAATATCAAATAATAGAATATGGAGTTGAAAATATTTACAACAGTGATCAAAGCGGATTCCAATTAGAACTTCATGCCGGTCGTACATTGGCATATAAAGGAACAAAAAAGATTGAATCTGCAGTACAATCTGTATCGGCAACTACGCATAGCTATACTATACAACCTACTGTTTCAGCCGATGGTAGATTATTATCGCCTCTTTTTATTGTACTGAAAGAAGTTAGTGGAACATTTGGTCCCAGAGTGCAAGAAACAATGTTTAAGGCACCTAATATTTTTGTTACGGCTTCGAAATCCGGAAAATTAACAGCGCATCATTTTAAAATTTGGTTGCAAGACGTACTTTTTCCAAATGTAGGTCCAAAATCTGTTTTACTACTAGATTCATGGACTAAACTTTGGTCATTGTCCAAATATTATTCAAGAATCTAAACCAGAATCCACAGAAGATATTATTTTGTTGACTATACCAGCTGGAACAACAGGAAAAATACAACCATTGGATGTATATGGTTTTCGTTTGTGGAAGAATTTTATTAGACACTTTTCTGATACTGTAATGCTTTTAGGTCTGGAAGTCAATCTGCATGCAAGAAACACCATTTTAAAATTACAGTCATTGACTCAATTTTCATCGCCAAGATTCAGAAATTTATTGAAATACGCATGGTATAAAAGCGGGTACGTAATAAATAAGCCCGAAGAATTCGAAACACCAGTGGAATTTTGTTTCCATAAACAGTCAAAACCAACATGCGATATTTGTGGCGCACCTGCAATAATTACTTGCGCATGGTGCAAAAAGTCACTTTGTATAAATCACTTTTTTCACGAACATCACCTTTGTGATACGTTTGTTCCATAAATTCATCTGTTTTTAATATATGTTAATATATGTATTATATTCAATATATGTAGTATGTTATTGTTGAAGGTAAAGTTGTAATTGTTTCGACATATATTATTATAAAAGAAATAAAATAATAAACAAACAAATGTTTCTAGTATTGATTAATAGAAAAACTTGAAATTAATTGGATTTTTTTGCATTACCATTGAAAAACAATAAATTGCATTTTAATTGTAAGATTTTTATTTATTTATTTCTCTTTCGATATAATCCACTCTTAAAAAAGGCATGAAAAATCGATACTCGAATGTATCAAAAGTATTGTTGACGCTTATCCGCGACGCTGATTGGTTATCTCGATTATTCTGACAGTTTGATAGTTTAAGAGCAAAGATTATTTTGACGGTTATTTAAAATTTTAAAAATTTTATTAAAATATTTAGATTTTATAATTATTAAATTATTATAATAAGTGCACGGGCGCAGCGCGCGCTTGTATTGTTCTAGTATAACTATAAAAGTATAATATAGAGGAGATGCCTTGGCAACAACTTTAGTGAACTTTGTTCTTTGATCAGAACATTTTTCCGAATACTTCATAACATGCTAATCTTTATTTCTAATTTTATTCATCTTATCAATTACACATGCGCGACAAACATCGATTACACAAGCGGCACAAACGATGCGTTATGCATATATATGCATATATCGCAGCGCGACGCATATAGTGCGACATTGACAGCTCATTTCTGAAAGATGCAATTTCGAAAATATAAATAAAATCATATATGGTTGTATTCAGCGTAAAAAATGCTACAACTTTTGTCATAACAAAAATTTTGAAATTTCTAAAAATAATAAAAAGAGGTAAGGGTAAATTAAAAAATATAAAATTTTTAAAAATCGAG